TCCTATTATCTTGATACAAAATTGTTTTCTAAAAATTTCAGCTCATCGAAATGAAATTAAATTTGTTCCGAACATTTCTCATCAAAACCTTTTAATATAACTTACGTGAATTAAGACAAAAGAACTACTATGAACAAATTAAATGCTTAACCATGATGTAATAACCTGTTTACAGCCTAACTGAACCAGTATTAAACCAACTGAATAACTTGCGAAATAGAACAATTTGCTATTTTTTGACCGAAATACTTGGAAACAAAATAAACGAAGTGGTAACTAACTGAAAGCCTTCTAATAATCACATAGTTTAGATAAGTGAAAGTCGAATAGGGAAATATGAAACAATAATCTCTACTAAATTCAAGGAGTGACAGAACTCGTTTCATCCCAGCAATCATATCTAATTTTCAGTCGTGAAGTTAAAAAATGACCAAGTGAGGTGAATCATCTTTCTAAAATTAAAATATGATTTAGTTTATGATAAAAAAGTGTACGTAAGATGTAAGAAGAGCGAATTTCTCTTTCTCATTATGGCTTTTGTCATTTCTCTGACCTTTGGATTTACCCGCTCATTCACTTGTATACGTCAGATTATGGTAATTTGTTCATCAAACAGACCTGTGATGTCTTATGGATTTCAATCAAAAATTTTACAAAACTCAAATGATTTATGAGTTTGTCAGTTACCCCTTTAGTTTTACCTGACTAACTGCTTTTGGAACCACTAGCTTATGCTACACTAGAAACCATTTGAATATTTGTTAAGTGCCATCCAAACTAGCTATTACATCTTTATGGTCCTACTCGTATGTCCATCAATCATTCATAAATTTGTTAATTTTATTTCAAAATTTACTACTTGTTGTCCCCGAATCAAAAATAAATGAATGGTAAATGCTAGGAATTATTCATGGACTCTTATTACATGTATTCTTAACGGATAATTAATAAGTATCTAGATCATATATATTTATATTCCTTGTATCATAGGTTTTCATTTGACCGTTCTCGATTTATTCTCAGTCTGTTAGTTACACCCTCCAATACTCACAGCTACTTTTGGCTTGATCTTGTGCAATTATTACTTTTCATTTTACGATATGATGCCATCTGATAATACGTTACTTACTTAGCGTTTTTCTATCACGGTTGTTTTCTGTGGGATGGAGTTGCCGACCCCACTCCCAACCCTCCTCCTTTACCCGGGCTTCGGACCGTCAGTGTAGCCCTAGAAGAACTACAGGATGAGTTGTCATCTGGTCTGCTTGTACGTTAACTACGTATGTCTGAAATGTATTATTCATAAAACGGAGGCTGATATTTACTTTCTGAATTGAACGGGTTTGGCTAGATCAGAGGCTACTCAATTGAGGACCAATGCAGATTGAGAGTTGACTCAGGACTACTTGTGCTTGCTGACGTGTCATTGGTTTAACACAGGAAAAAGGTCATAGGAGTGTATATTCTGATTGTGGACTTTGTGACGTGATATTTGACGCGCCATAGGACATAACACTACTTATTAATGCAACTTATTTCATTTATGCAGTACAGTTTTATGTACTCAACATTAGACAACAATGTTTTTGTTATGGCTAGCGATACCACGCGACTGTCGCGACCAAAGTGGGTATAATCGAGTTCAAATCTGTCATCTAATTTTGGAAATTAAAGTACTTCAATCACTAAGCCATCAGCCCAAATATCTTACTTGCACTAAAACTTATGCTAAAATACTTGTAGTCAACTCACTTTGTCAACTTTAAATGACTATATCTTGCAACAGTTCAGATCAAATTACATATATTCGCTTCATGGGTTTGTTAGATTTTTATTTTGTATGCGTGGACAAAGGTAGAAAACGTTACCTCTATTCATTTTTCTCTTAGGTTACATATAAAGATAATAATGACTACAACTGTATTGGTTCTGTGCGTCTTACAGCTAGTAACGGTCAACAGTTGATCCTGTCTTTAATGCAAGTATGTAAAACTGGTTTACAGTCTCTTTTTTACCATGTCTATGTTCATTCTGCCAAATTTATCATCCTCATTAATAAGCATTCTCCTATGTAGGTCGCCGAAATGCCCTAGTATGGCCGAGGGTGAGCAGAGTCAGATATCACTCTCGAAATACTTTCACACGGCCACGCGTATACAGCCTCTGCCAGGGAAGTCCTACTCATTGCTTTCTCGTGGCGGAGGTGCACATGGGCTCCAGTACCCTGTGGGAACAAATGGCGTATAAACCAATTGTTGGTCACCAGCTACCATGGGGCTATATCTCCTCACGTTTCTCCACTGCCTTGTGGATCAGACCTCTTGGTCGAAAGCTCGGGGTGTGGCCCCCCGAGAAAATCACATTTCTCGGTTTGGGAACGCGGGCAATATAACAGCCCTCCCATAAATCGAATAATTTATATGGCGCATATGTATTCGGTGCCTCCTTGTACCAATATTTATGTGTTTAAACAAATGAATAGGCATTCCCATCACTTTTAATTCTTAACTTGATTTTACCATAAAAATGTATTAATTTAATCTCATTAGTTTGTACCAAGTTACCTATCGTCCTTCGACTGTACTCTTTGTATATCCAACAATAAACTAATGATATAGAATGATCATGTTTGTTGAAGCTCTTCAACATTTTGCAATCATATATTCGTAGAAATTCGTCATTGCTAGAATCGACTCTTCAGTTCTCAGTGTTGTAATCAGATATTTAGGAAACAGCTAAATCAAAGTCTTTCCCCTGTTATACAACATCTTGAGACTTTGATATGATCATGTTTAGCTTGACGATATGAAGCTTATATTTATAATTCCAATAATCCGATTCAAATGCTCCTAAGAAGGTTTAAATACGATCTTCAGAAATGTATTTTTCCCTAGATTTTGATCAGTGTTTTTCTCTGATCAACTGATTTCATTTCACCTGACTTCGTAAAAAATATGTCTCAATAGATGAAGTTATATAAATGTTTCCATTTTTTATTCCTGTTTTTTATTTTAGGCTAGAATGTTTGTCTTCATTTTAAGTCGATATCAGTATATACTATCAGCAAATTTGTTAGCTTCTGCTTGAACTATGTTGGAAGCTAGACACCTCATCAATATCATGCAATCCGTAGATATAATTGCAGATATGAAGTAAAAATTACTTGGTATTCAGACAAAGACTTTTGTTTTGTATTTACTCTTGAGAAAAGGGAGAGAATCTGTGACATCTTTGATACAATTATCTTCATTGTGGGAAAATGTGTTCATTTATTGCATAGTTCAAACTTCATATTCATTTAATTTGACAATAATCATGTATAACTTCAATTATTTTTACAATGACAATGAAAAATAATTATGATCGACAACTAACTAATTCTTTCCTCAAAACTCTTTAGATTCAATTTTATCAGTCAAAACATTATATGAAGATTATAATAATTTCATATTATTGATTATGTTTATAGTGAGTGACGTTTTTGAACTATTTCTTCATAATGGGTCAACTTTTAATCAGTATTCGGGAATGCATGCATATATGGTCTGTAATTCTCAGTAACTGAAAGCGTCTGTTCTTTACTTTTTTAGATTTTCTCAGGCAATAAATTCTACAACTTTCGTTGAATCATGAAACAGTTTTGTAATTGTTCCAGTTCGTTCCTAAACCTTTAATCACCAGCATATAGACCTACGCAGATGAGTTCCAGAATATTATTAATCATCCACCAGACAAGATTAATGTCACCCACTATCCCAACTTGTATAATTCCATTGCTTGTTGTTATGTCATAAATATGGATATACTGAGTCTATATTTCAAACATAACTATTCACTATCAGATGATCGGACGGTTTTCTGATTACCATGTGAGATTAAGCCAACTAAATGACAATAGGTTTCAGCAAATAGAGATGAGTTGTAAGATATTAGACAGTCATTTTAGGGAGCATTTTGACGATTGACGAGGTGATTTTTACTAAATGAGAAACAAAGCAAAGTAATCACAAATATCTCAAAAATATTTTCCTTACACGGTGCTTTGCCACAATTCCAAGTGAAATGTTACTTAGAGGAAAATGGTTATTAACTATAGCAGTCTCTATAATCTGAAGACTCATCAATTGAAACTGACATGAAGTGACTAAAGTATATGTCAAACCTTCAAGCTGTTGGTCAATAACTTTAATTTCGATTCATGGGACTTGGTGATTTAAGTTACTCCATAGGATGATATATTCAGTCTTGTCGATCAATCGACGTCATTTTGGAACTTTTCATTACTAATTTAGACTGGTCAAAAGTGTATATTGTGATCTAATTATTAGTTGTACCTAGAAATAGGTCTAATGTCCTAGTTAGACATTCCTTCTGCTTAGTGAGACGCGACATAGAGGGCGAAGTCACACTTTTTGTCTGCTATCTTCATTTTTCTGTTCAGTATCCTTCACTGTGTTAATCCACACGGCGATGCCATTATTAATATCAAGATGTTTATTCACAACATTGTGTAACGAAAGTACATGATGAGATAGACTTCACATCGTAATTATTATAAATTTCAGCTAGTTGTTCCGCCTCTAACCATGTTTATTATCAATTTTTGTAGGTCTAACAAGTCTACTTTTATCGTAAACGTTAAATTAGTTAAGATTATTAGGTGTGATTAAACGCAAATAACCAAAGCAGCCTGCATTCTGACGGCTCAGTAAGACACTTCCACCATTCATCAGACCAATCTATGAATGGATCTGTTAGGTAGAATATTACCTCTTTTCCAATATGAATCAAAGAATTTCAGTCGAAAATGCTAATAAAAAAATTTAAGGCAGTCAAAAGATTCTAAAAACAATAGTTCAGTTCATGTTCTTGCAAATGTGATCTCAACAATAATCAATTTCTAGTATCAATTCTAAAATCCGTTGGAAACAACAACCTCTGATGCATTACTCCTAATTATTGTATTCACAGGTATATGAATTGTAGTATGAACTAACAGTCCCAGAAATAACGCAATTGAATCAAGAAGTTCGACATAAGCACGAACGAATGTATTGTATCTAGAATTCGAAATCGAGCATTCAAAAAGTACAAAAGAATCATTAGCTCGTTCAAAAACCACATCCGCCACAGCTTAAATTGGAGTCTAGGTGTTTGTAATCAATCGTACGTCTTCTTCTCAAATTTATCCTGAGTCTGTCCAACATTGTATTGGATAAAAACTCTGTATTATCTAGAATGCACTCATTAGTATTAGAATTAACGATCGGAATTGGAACTGACTCACCTGGTTCCTGAAATTGGATTTGATCAACATGTCGACTGTGTTTACTTAAGTCATTGACTTCTAGAATTCGCAACATCGACTTTCCGACATTCTTTAGAACAATACTCGTAGATGTTCGAAGATCGTTTCCTCGACAGTATGTAACTTCTGCAGACTCCAAACATCTCATATTCGACCGAAGAATTCTTCCTTTCAATAGCTTTGATGGAGTCTCCTTCGTCACTGAATGTCTGGCATTTCTATATTGCAGTAGAATGGTATCTACTCCCCTCTCCAGCTCATTAAATGTTGAGGCGGCTATAGAATCAATAGCAGTCTTTAATGTCCTGACAAAATTTTCTGCCTGACCATTAGAACACGGATGTCTGGGAGCAGTAAACAGATGTTTGCACCCTATACCATTCAAACAGGTAGTGACTGCATTTGCAGCAAAATGAGAACCATTATCAGTCAGTAACACCATAGGAACCCCTTCTCGACCAAACATTTTTCTTAATGCTTGGATTGTGAAATCAGAATTCGATGAAGTTGTGAAAAAAATTCACCAAATTCTGATTTCGAGAATGAACGAGGGGAAAAAAGATATATATATCCAGAAAGAAGAAAAAATATCACAACGTATAAAAAAATAAAATAAGGCAATGATTTACAGAATCGTAAAAAGGAACAGACTCATAGTTTACGATTTGGTGTACAAGATCACGTCGGGTTCACCACTTAAGATGCCACAGGTATTCAGAGTTTGACAACGCTTTAACCAGTAAAACCTTCTAATATGAATCGTACCCACCAAGTAAAATCAGAAGACAGAGGCAAGGAGGTTCGAGGACATATTCGATAGGTTATCAATATATCGAGAATCGTTTGATCTAATCTGGCTAGCGATTGCAGGGGATGTTGAGCACGGCGTTCTCACTCGTGAGTCCATTGAAACGAATGTGATCAGCATTTAATGTTGGAAACTTACAGAGATATTTATTTTAGGGATTTATTTACCGCTACAGACCACTCCCCCCTAGTGGGGTGGTGATGACCCTAAGACGTGGCCAGCCAGAAGTTTAAACTCAACGAGTTTTGTCGTTGGTAGACACTCTTCTGATAGCTTGCTAGGTTTAGCAGCGTCTGGTCGTCTTTTCTTACTATAAGGGACTATGAAGTACAATATAGTGAAAAAATAATGTACAATGAAAATTTTTGGTTCCTCGAAAACCTCATCGTTCTTTTTATCGTCTTTTCCTGCCGTCCTGGGAAAGAAAAAAAGAGTATGTAAGTGCATGTCGAAATAAACTCGTATACGCTTTAAGACACGAAATGGGCGAAAAAGTGTAAATAACGTAAAAGCGAATTTTACAAAATGTTTTTTTATTTTTTTTAAAAAATTTTTTAATATACATATGATAAATGATAAATATATATAAATATAAGCATATAAAATTTTTTTATATTATATATAATGCCATGGAAAATCGAGATGAAACAAAATGTTAACTAGTATCTTATGTGCAATAGTCATTTAAATGTTCTGGAAATCTTACGCTTCTTCCAGAACGCGTTGTTTTAAGTTTATTTTCAGATACTTTCGAAGTATCATCGTACGTGTTGATTGTCGGATGAGGTATTATAGGTTTCGGAGTCGTTTCGTTCAATTGTACCGAAGAAAAATCGACGTGGATAGGATTTCCTTCTAAATACGCTGCTTTGAGGAGATCGACTCTGATGCTATCGTTGGTTCCTTTCTTATCGATTATATAGTACTTAGGTTCGCGTTGAAGAAACTTGAAATATCCTTCGCATGCTGATTCGAAAGGTCGTCGATGCGAGTCTCGACGTACGAAGACTTTTGTACTATATCGTAAGTCAGGTTGAACGAAAACATCAGTTGATTGAGGTCGAGTGGAAACAGGTTTAACTGAACGCATTCCGTTTGTAAGCCTGTTCGTGTAGGAGGTTAGATCCATTTTCATTGAAGAGGACGAAGGATCCACGAATTCTACTGGAGGTCGAAGTGTCATTCCATAAACGAGTTGAGCTGCAGTGTATCCAATGTCAGCTTTTACTGCATAGCGAATACCTAGTAAGGCGAGTGGAAGAGCGTCGGTCCACTGTGAAACGTTTTCAGCCGATAGTGAAGCTTTTAGTTGTCGGTGAAAGCGTTCTACCAACCCGTTTATTTATTTGTTATTTATTTATTTGAACACATAAATATTGGTACAAGAATGCGCCAAATATATATGCGCCACACAAAGCAATGAGAATTTAAGGGGAAGGGAAAAAATGACAGGATAATAACGAAGAGAGTGATGTAACGTGGTGTAATAAGAATGATAAAAATAGTGGAACGGAGAGGTACAATCAGAAGAAATCTTTCAGTTAAGGAAGAAACAACCACTTTTTATGAAGAAAGTAAGAGAAGGTTGCAGCAGGATCGCCACTGGCTTTTATTATGAACCATATCTCGGACCTCTGACAGGGAGTCGTGAAGGGCCAACACAAGCCAGCCCTTTGCAGCTTTCTTTCATACCACGACACCATGTCATACACTGACCACCTCTCCGCTTTTCCGACCATTCCCAGAGTCGGCAAATAATGCATGACGTGTAATTCTCTGGGACGACATTCGTAGAACATGTCCAAGCCACCGAAGTTTGTGTTACAAGATGGTGACACCAAGTGCATTATCGTCTCTGTGCCCGAACACACGATGCCGAACCTCTGCATTACTAACATGATGTTGCCACTGGATGTCAGCAATCCTTCGGAGACAACGACGATCAAACACGGAGATTCGTCTCACGTCCTCAACTCGGAGAGGCAAATTTCACAAGCATAGGGCAAAACTGCTCTCACCGACGCGTCGTAGATCCGACCTTTTACAGCCAGACTAACATCATGAATGCGCCAAAGGTGGCCCAGAATGGCATAAGCCGCTCTGGCTTTCACTATTCGTGCATTGATCTCATCACTCACCCCCCCCAGCAATTATGTAGCTGTTGCTTCCAGCTCAATAACACGCTTCGACCACCAGGCTTCTCGGTCCTTACGCAAGCTTCGCCCAATTTCTTTACGTAACATCCTACGTTTGTGGTCAAACTCACGGTCACCCGGAGTAGACCGACGGGCTTCAATGAGTTGTAAGGAACCAGAAGAAACCCAGTGCTTAAAAGCGGGACGTTTCGCAAACCCAAAACTGACTGTATCCGCCATTTTCATGGCGTCATGCAATTGCGACCAATGCTCATCTATGCTTTGCGGTGTAATGGTAGCTAGCTTAGAAACTAGCTCGTTTCGATACTTACTAGCAACAGAAGTTACAACCAGCTTGCTAACATCAATCCGTTGGTGGCGGTCGCTTTGTTGTCCACTGAGAAGTAAGGTAAGATTGGCGCAGACCAAGGCATGGTCAGAGTCCAGATAGGTACTCCAAAAGGAGCGGCAGTCTTGTACACAACCACGCCAGCGGTAGCTGATCGCGATGTGATCAATCTGAGTCCAGGCTTGGGATGCAGAGGGAGGACGCCAGGTGGCACATCGGCGATGACTGTGCCGAAAGTTAGTGCTAGCCAGAAACAGGTTGTGGTCTGTGCACAGTTGCAGTAGACGGTCCCCGTTATCTGACCTGCGACCAACAAGTCCCCATCGGCCACCTAAACGACTCTCTTCTGTGCCTAGACGCCCGACCTGAGCATTCAAGTCTCCGGCTAGTACTACAATATCTGTCGAACGCACTTTCTGGAGAAGAACAGATAACTGGTGGTAAAACTCATCCTTGATTGCATCCGGACTGCAATCTGTCGGGGCATAGGCGGAGATGACGAAAAGACATCGTTTCTCACGCCGATTTCTTCTCACTTTGATGGAACTTTCTAATCTAACAGCACATAACCGACTGTTAATGGGGATCCAATCGACTAGTGCTGCCTCAGCTCTAGCGCTTAGTGCGACACCAACGCCTGCAAGACCAGACGAAGATGCCACAGGGTCCCCGGATAAGCGCACGTAAAACAAGCTTTTTGAAGTGACAGATGTAGAGCGAATTTGTAGTACTTCGCTAGAGTCTTGAATACGGGTCTCGGATAGACAACAAACATCAATATTAAGACTTTCCAAAGACATAGCCAGCCCTATCTGTTGACCAACCTGCATAAGTGTGCGAACGTTGAAGGCAGCCAGTTTGAATGGTGCATGCGGTTTCAGAAAAACTGCTTCAGTATTGATATTCGGTGTCTCGAGAACGTTTAGATACAGTCGAATTTCCACCAAAGACGAGGTGCTGTATAAGTCGAAAAAATAAGTATACACAGAGTAGGAATAAAAGAGGGTGAATAATTTCGAAGGAAATAATAATAATAATAACAATAGTGATAATATTAATAATGTGAATCATTTGATTGTTATTCGGAGCAAGAATAGCATTTTCCATAAGTAGACAGTTCATCATTTTTGTGTGGGCTGTGACACTTCCCGGGTGCCCAGATCGAAGCAGGTGGTTTTCTTAGGGGGCCACAAACCGAGCCTTTGACCTAAAGGTCTAACCCACAAGACAGTGGAGCATCGTGAGGAGATGCAGTCTCATGGTAGGCGGTGACCAAGGAATTGGTTCGTACGCCATTTTCCCACAGGATACTGAAGCCCATGTGCACCATCGGTTTGGAATCCGGTTAAAGCGCCGGACGTTCACGTTTCTTCCTCTCATTTTCGTAGACAACGAACCCGCCACGAGAAGGCAGTGAGTAGGACTTCCCTGGCAGAGGCTGTATACGCGTGGCCGTGTGAGAGTATTTAGAGAGGGAGGGCAGTCCCACCCCGCTCACAGCCATACCAGAGCATTTGTGTGGTAGGCCGTCGTTCGGAAGCGAGCGGTTCCTAAAAGTGTGGTCAGACGACGGAAAAGTTCAGATTCAAACTGACGTCCGCGGTCTGTAGTGATGGTTGAAGGGCAGCCGAAGTTTGCTACCCATCGTTCGAAGAAGGCGCGAGCCACTGTTTCAGCAGTGATGTTCTTGATAGGTACTACTTCTGGCCATCGAGTGAAACGGTCTACGCAGGTTAAGAGATAAGAGTATCCATTTGAATCTGGTAAAGGTCCTACCAAATCCAGTTGAACATGGTCGAATCGAGCATGAGGAGTTTTAAATGAGCCTGAGGGGCATTTATTGTGCCTACTCCCTCACTTTTTCATCCATGCCAGGCCAGCAAAACCGTTCTGCTATATGCTTGATGGTTGCACGGACACCTGGATGAGAAAGTTTGTGCAATGTATTGAAGACGTTGCGTCGATAATGTTTCGGCACGATTGGGCGACCCCTACCTGAAGATGTGTCACAAAGTAAGGTTTCCTTACCTGTTCCCATCTGTTTGACGCGTAGTTTGAGGGCTGTAGACGATAACTCGTGTTGAAGATCAGTGTCTTCTTTTTTAATCTGGGCGAGTTTAAGAAGGTCTATTCCTTGGAAACTGTTCAAAGAAGTTATTCGAGAAAAGGCGTCTGTGACTACATTGTTTGCTCCAGTAATGTGTTGAATATCTGAAGTAAACTGCGAAATGTTGTCCAGTTGTCGAAACTCACTAGGTGAGTACTTGTCTGAAGAAGAGCTTAAGGAGAAAGTAAGAGGTT